ACCTTGATCTGTCTGCTTGAATACTGGGTCCTAAGTTCTGAGCTTCTGACAAGAACATCACCATGTAAGAGTTTCACCTGGTTTCTGAATGGCTTACTATGAATCACTAGTTATCAGTCTGATTAGAATGTAGATCTAAGAAAATATATGTTGCTGAAGCCTATGTGCCAATCAATTCAGGAAAGCTCCGTTCAGGGACTCTACATGGCTCTGGATATAGATCTGGCAGAAAAACATAAATCTTATCTAGACATGCTTTATAAATATAATACACACAATCATACATCTAAGCAGCTAAAGTGTGAAACCGTCTTCTTTCTATTTTGCTAATCACAAGCTTTGTAGTTACTAATTTCTAATAATTTTCATTTATGCTTTTTTAAGAGAATCATCGTCTGCATAGAGAATTGTGTAAAACTTAATAAAATCGCTCATAACGAGACTGAGATCTCTTCAAGAGGACTATGTGGCACCAGTTGTATTACATCATGTATGTATTTTTTGCTTTATATCAAATATATATCTAAATGTACCTAACATTTCAGATAATTTGTAGAATTTGTGAAAATTAGTTTCGACTAGACATATAAATCATCTATATATGTTATTTTACTTTGCTTCACATCTAATTTGCTGTCATCCAGGTCATAGTCATTCCAAAAAAAGGAATAAAGAAGAAAAGAAAAGGAAAGAAAAGAAAAGAAAGTCCAGTGGATTGTCTTTAATTTTCTTTTTTTGCATTCACATCTAATTGATTTTGCTTATTGCTGACAAGTTGGTTAGTAATACCAAGCACACAGTTCATGCTCTAAGACAAGTCAGCAAATTGGATGTCTTCACACCCAGAAGAACCCTGCTTCCACACTTAAGGAACTTATTCCAAAACATCAGAGAGACTTAGCGCATACGTATGTAAGAGTGTGTTTGAGAGGTTAAACCCTGAGAGTTTGTGATATCCTTGTTGTGGTCTCTCCTGTCCTCAGTGCTAAAAGATCTCCGCAGCCTGTGTATTTGTTTCAGTCTTTTGTAGTCATGATTGTGCGAGTGTCTGTATGTGTGTATTCGGTCGTGCTGTGGTGAGTTTTGAACTCGTCTCTAACATTTCCATTACACGCCTCAGCGGCCTGTGCGTGGGCAAGTGTGTATTTCTGTATATGACGTTGAGACCTTTTACTTCTATGTCATCTGTGTGACATTTGGTCATCCCCGGACTGGACTTCTACAAAAAGACAAACTGGAAAACCAGATTTGTTGTGGGTCTTCTCACGTCAAATGTCCGGTTTTAGTGGGGCAGTGCTGACATGGGTGTGTGGGTTTGACTGCTATTCATTTTGACATATTCTACTCTATTTTTAGAATTTTAGAATTTTCATTAAAACTAAAGAAAAAGAAGAGAAAGTTTTAATCACTGTCAAACGCAAAATGTTACCTAACAATGTCTGTGGTCTCATCCAATTATACGTTTCCCTCTCTGGTCCTTTGATTGTGTAAACCAATGTCCTACGGCATGTGTAAGTTTATCTTTTAATTACTAAAAGGCTTTCTTTTCTTAGCACATGCCATAAATATAAGAGTATATATCATCGCAATAATCTCCATAATCTGTCAGTTCACAAAAACAGAAAACAGGCAATTTAGATATTTGTACACAGCTCTAAAATTAGAATATTTCAAGCAGGCTTTTTTTTTCAGTTTGATCAGTGTATACGTGATATTAAGGAAAGCCTGTCCAATGAATAACAAGAATCCAGTACATAACTCATTGCTGAGTTATAGGCCATGATTTAGCAAATGGCAACTGAATGCAACAGTCTGGCTTCATATAAACTTATAAGCAGATACTAGGTGCAGTTGTCCACATTGGGCTTTCATCCTTAGATCATAATAGAGGTTTATTTTATACTCTAATTATTGGTTGTATTTGTCATTTCTATAAAAGAGACTGTGTCCCTTCTCTAGATTTCTATTTGTTTTTACATATTTCCATAAGGTAAACTGGCTTTAACTTTGTGTACAGTTTATTTTGCATTTGTTGCATTATAAATTTCTTCTTTTGCTGTATTTAGTAATGTTGTTGAATCCCAGCCATAGTGGTATTGATTATGTTTAATTCCTGTTTTTTCACCCATTGTATTTACACTCAGTGGCATCAGTGTAAACCTTTCTAGTTTTCTAAATTCTAATTCTTACTGTGTCTTAGAGGTAATTTTCTATCTAACACCTTGCAATCTAACATCATCCTAGGTTTTCATACTTTTTGATGTATTATAGAATATAAAACATGAATTATCTATAGCCCTACAACAGACTGGCAAGCTGACCGGGGTGTAGCCCGCCTTTCTCCCACACACTGCTGGCAATTGGCACCAGCCCCACTGCAAATATCAGTTCTTGAAATGCTAAATGTAAAACTTTGGCATTAAAACTAACATAAGTGATTGGTTTAGTAATTTTGATGTGACCTTTTTGCCTTTATAAACGAAGGTTGAACGCAAAACGAATCAAGACACCATAAGAAAGTGTGCTCATTTTTTTTCTATTTTATATAAAGATATGAGATACTTTGTAAATGTAAACCAAACCAATTTTTTTTCTTATATATATGATTAGAAAGCTTTACGGAAATACTTTTTTGGATTATCAATGAAATGTTGTGTTTCTTGAATTTAAATTCATGTGGCTAAAATCACAGTAAAATGCATGACATGTGGCGAATATGATTAGAACCCTGATACGCAGCATTTTGAAGAATTCTTCATAAAATGAAGAACGTTAAAGCAATCCTGAGTGTCCTTTCTAGAAGACTGCTAAACAACAGGCGATCTTCAGTACAAATATCTCCATTTCCCCCTGCAAGCCAGACCACTACATTACATCCTTCCTTTCAACAGCTAATAACATGTACAACAACTCATAAATTTAATTCAATTTAAAGCATGTAATTCCTCTTTAGGTTTAAAAAGTATTTTTAAAGTATTTTTGAGTTTAATTTAATTAACCTTAACCTCAGAAAGGTTTGGTGTAGCTCCTGACACTTTAAGCAAAAGCTGATGGTAAGATAGAAAAAGGCTGTTTAAAGCCTTCAGGAAGAACAATGCAGAAAATTCAGACTCTGATAAGGGATTCAAAAAGATCTTAAAATAAATTTTCTATGCTTGAGTTGATCACTGAACAATGAACACACAAATCATGAGTTAGCATTATCCCTATTATTCACATTACAAGTTGGAATTTTGTTCCCCAATAAATCCATCCCAAATAAGAAAATGCTGACACCAGTCTTAGGTTCATGCTATATGTTTTGTAACACATAATTACAGGGTTATAATGTCCTTCTATTAAGCAGGTATTTAGACACAATTTTATAAACTAGTCATAAAACTGCATTAAATAGACCAATAAAGGCAGTTGCAGCAGCAATATCAGTATCAGTTTACATTTCCGTATTTTCTTAAAAATGGTGGGAGATATGTAATGTTTAACAATAAAAAGACACCAACTTTAAATGTTGTTGACACAGAAGTTTAGATGATATAAACCAAAAAAGGAACACAAATTATGACCCAGGGTGTTACAAAAACGACTTTACAGACAGGCAGCTTGAACCATTCAACAGCTTAATCCGACCTCACATAACCAATTACACAAGGTGAATTAGGAGAGGTAAAGTGATAAACTATAATGTTAAAATCACTTAGTTTTGCTTCATACTAGAAAGCAGATTGATTTCTTATGATATTACCTTTGAAAGCAAACTTTATACACCAATATGCTAACAATTAACTCTATCTTATCCAAATAAATTTTTTTAATCGAAGTCTTTATTCATTCTTATTCAAATGCTTCCCAAAATTAAACTTTAAGTTCTAAGTTATCTTTTCAACCCAGATTTAGGTTAAGCAAGTCTCTTTTGGGATGGAAACCTGATTGAGCTCTACTGCATCAAACACATAATCCAAACCGACAGTGTTCAATAATCTAAAGCAGGGATATTCAACGTTTTCCAGGCTAAGGACCCACGAACTGATGGTGAGATAAAGCAGAGACCCCCTAATTATATATTGTATTGTTAAAGATAGGCTCTTTCTTGACAGAATAAAATTGTGTTATATCAAGCTGGTCCCATAGTTGCTCTATTACATATGGAGTAATGTTACGAAGTAATTTTGCCCTGGGATTATTAAAGTATCTCTGATTCTGATTCCTTGTTGATTGGACAGGTGTTGTGAATGAAACGGTGTCCAGCTTGAAAGAGCTCCTATGTGTCGCTGAATGTGTGCATTGATGACTGAAAGACATCTTCTGCCTCCATTTATCTGTTTACTACAAAGTGTTGAATTCATGTGGATGTGTATTTAAAGACATTTCAATTAGTGGAATCAACCAATACTTTCGCTACCCCCAAGCAGTACCTGTGTGGACCCCTAGCGGTCGCAGACCCCCTGTTGAGGACCTCTGAATCAGTTCATACAATTAAGGAATAGTTTGGCAAAATAACCAAAATTTGTTTGCAAAACTCAACAGTTTTAGAATGCATCCAATACATTTTGAAATGATCTCAAATTAGGATTGCATATATATATATATATATATATATATATATATATATATATATATATATATATATATATATATATATATATATATATATATATATATATATATATATATATATATGTGTGTGTATATAAATATATATATTATTATATATATATATATATACAAAAAAAATGTAAAAAAAATATATATGTAAAAAAAAATATATATATATATATATATATCTTTTTTTTTTTTTTTTTTTTACATTTTTTTTGTCTTTATTGACATGGGGGTTGGGGGCCTGTTTTCCTTTATTGGTTTTTTGTTGTTTTTTATCTTGAACTTAGTACGTGATGCTTTTTACCATGGCTGCGCACATCGGGTGGCAGCGAACGCTTTTTTTGGGGCTTTAATGAGGCCACGCAGAGTGGGCATAAACCTTTATCTTCCCCTCCCTCTTTCTGAGCTATAAAAGAGCTGAACTGTAATGGAGACCCCATCACACTGCAGTTCGCTGTTACGCAGAGAAGATGAGCGCACGGATAATGAAATCCAACCCTGTCATGAAACTGATATTGGTAAGTAACTACAATTTCGCATTTTTCTCGCTTTTTTTCCTAGTCTGAATATCTGGAGAACAGACGTTCTGAAGGAGTAATTCATTTGGGTTTTTACATCTACACCTTTGAATGGACATAGATCCGTCTTTTCTTTCTTTCTATTTTTCATCTGAGCGCATTCACATAAAAGTACAAAATATAATTGATATGCATGTGGAAACAAAGCGCGACACCCCGTGCTTGTATGTTGCGTGAGGACGCACGCGCATCCGCAGGTAACTTTGCGGTAACTCATTCAATTTATCTAACATGAGCTTTATAGTTAACGTTTATTAATATTGCTCGTTTTTATGAGCGTCATCGTCAACATTATATAAATAAATAAATATATATAAATATATATATATATATATATATATATATATATATATATATATATATATATATATATACACACACACACACACACACACACACACACACACACACACACACACACACACACACACACACACACACACACACACACACCGTTTAAAGAAGATAATGTGGCACCTGTTGGATTACAGCAATTATGGTCTTGTTGTTGTCGTTGTTGTTTTATATCTGTATCTCTATATGTGTTTTATATATATTATTATGTACCTACAACTTCTGATAATTTATAGAATTTGTAAAACCATCTTCAAAAAAGATCATCCATGAACTTTTTTCATTTCCTTTGTTCACATGTTATTGCTTTTTTCTCATTTACCTTCACATAAGATAATATTTTCCTGACCCCAGGTGATGCCTCCCCCCCTTCTCTGTTAGACAATGTTTGACACCATTAGGTTGTTCCTGAGATGTTGGCCTGTGGGATCAAAGCGATCATTTTCTGCTTTGCATACGGTGTTGCAGCAGAGCCCTCTCAGGTTTTGCATATGGTAATGAATGAGATGTGTATCAGGTCAGAAACAGATCACGCTCTGTAAACCAGAACACATGCTTCACTATCTGTCCCTGTGGTCTGTGTGTGTTTGTCACACAGCTGTAGAGAGAGCCCCAACCCTGGTTGGTCAGAGATTGTGTTTGTGTGATGTGTTAAAGGACTAGGGGCTTTACATGCAAATGAACTGTGATGGCACAGCTACTTTGTGTGCTCACATAATAGGGTGTTATGATTTCAGATTAGATCCTGGAGCTGTTCTAAATGTTCTGCTCCCCTTCTTTTTGGTTACTCCCAATGCTTTGGCTTTTCTCTCTTGTTACTCTACCACCTGTCTGCTTTAGTATTTTCCTGCCTGTTAATGATGCACGTTCTTCTGCTCTAAAAAAAATATGTTTCTGGATGAAGTTAGTGGAAAACCTAAAACAGGTCTGTTTATTTGGATGAGAAAATCTGTTTACATATGAGAACTTTAATGCAGTCTAAGCAGGTAGGGAGCCAGAGGACTATAAGCGGGAGTTTGTTTTTGTTTCCACACCCTACTTACTGCTTAAATCCATATGCAGAAGTAAACCTCATCCCCCTTTTTGTGCCATGTACTATCTTCAATCTGTTTGTCCTTATCTCTGTGACCCCTCTTAAGTCTCTGTGGCCGTTGGCTGAAGCTGCACCAACTTCCCTAAACTTGGCAGCTTTGCACACAGTGCAAGGAACGTGTGCGGAGATTAACTAACCAATACTGAGCCACTCTTTGTTTTTCTTTATATTAAAAATATATAATAAGTGTATGAACAACGGATATAATAAAGAGCACATGTTTTGTGTGATGATCTAGTATCGTAATAGTAGGAAAAACCAACTTGTTTTGCAGTCAGAATTCAACAATCACTTCATTAAGCTGCTTCCTCACACCTTACTTCCTCTTTTCCATCAACAGTAGCTCAGATAGCAGAAGTCTGTACCTGCCTGTGTGTGTTTGTGGAGTTTATGAGTGCTGCACAATTGTGACCAACTAACTGATCCAAAGTATTTACTGCACCTAAAATAGGTATTCACAATCCTCCAGCACATCCATTGTGTATTTATTGCATTTTATGTGATAGAGCAACTCAATGAATTGCATACATTTTTAAAGAGAGATTCACGAGGTTCAGAATAAATATATAAAAGTTTGGCATTATTTGCAGTCTTCTTTTATTTAACACCCGTAGAAAAAACTTTGGGAAAGCAAATTACCTTAAGATGCCAATAAATAAATACATAGAATATGAGAAATGCATTGTGTGTGAGCACTGCCTGGGAGACTGGAAGCATAGACAAAAAAAAAAAAAAAGAACAGATGCTGCAAGAGTTTAGAGTTACACACGCGCCCTATTTTTGTTTTAACCGTAATACTCCATGCATCATATTAAAAGGGGATGCAAATTTCTGTAGCAATCTGCTTTCTCTGAAAACCAAGACGATACAACTGTATATTGATACTTTGCAAATTCCCCTGTGTCATGTGTCACTGGTTTATAATATAACATTTGAAGAGATGCAATAGCATTGCTTGAATAAAGGGCAATAGAAAAGCTACTTTTAACTTTAAATTGCAGTTTCAAATAAAAATGTATTTGCATATTCTTTCTTCAGAGTCTTTTCCTGCTGAAAATTTTAATTGGAAATTTATTTTGTGGCTAATCTAAGTCTACATTTTCTGGAAACCGCTATTTAATTTGTTTAGTGCTGCCACTAATACTTGTTCTTAATTTGCATAGCTTAAACACACTGTTGGATTGGATTAATTAAGCTTGTTGCACTTATTCTATCTTCATAGGTTTTGATTTATATTTCAGATGAGAAATTATCCAAAACTAGCAGTTAAAAGATATTTAAATATATTGAAATTTAAGCAGTGTTTACAATGTTGCTACTGATTTATGATCTGTGTGCTTTGAATGTTTCAGATTCCAAATTTCAAATTCATTTATTTAATTACTCAGATAACTAATTTAGCTTTTCTGTTTTGCAATGACTTAAATTTTACATAAACACTAATGTATATTTTAACTAAAGAAATACATCACCATCCAAACACTGTTCCTGAATTTTACTTTGTTTACAGTAAAATTCTATTTACAGTCTGACTGCCCTCTGTGTCATTATACTATAAAATTATATGGTTTTGCAACAATTATCTCATAATAAAAAAAAAAAATCAGTTTATTATTTGCTATCATAATTTGAGCCTGGTGCATACCTGCTAAATATTTAGTTTTTATGACACTGGAATTTTATTTTAATCTGTTAATCTGTCCTTGATATTTTCTTTTTTACAAAATCTAATTCAGCATAAGTATTACGTCACATTGCTTCGTCAATACTATTACAGAAATTATTGCTTTCATAGAAACCAAATACTTCTAAACTATCATAACTGACTTTTGCAACTTTGACTATTTAAGTTCAAATAATTGGCTTTGTGATTCAGATATATAAGCAAATTTAATCTTAATTCACATGCCTAAAAAACACTCCATAAAACAGGTAACATCTAAGGCTACTAGCAGCAAAAGGCAAGACCCCCTGCATGGGACGGGGGGATGGATTGAGTATAAAGCGATGTGGCCTGGCAGCGTGTCCAAGAGTCACTCCAGATCTTTGCGGTTTTAAAAAATGACTGATTTGATGTTCATGTGAACTAACGCAAACATACATGCACGCACACACCAGTTAGCTGGAATCCCCCCTCAGACCACCTGCACTCTACAGTTAACTGAATCCATGTGCTTGGTGCCTGAACTGGTGTGGTGCGGTTTGATCCCTTTGTGCCATTGGTCTTCTCCTCGTGCCATGACTTTAAAGCTAACCCCAAGGCAGGCCAAACATAAAGCCTGGTCCTGTGTCATGTCAGTAATGCTGAAAGTGTGATGTCACCCTTTAAATGTGCATGTTGAAAGATGCTTCACTGACAAAGATTTGCACCAGAGATTCCAATGTTCGTTGTTAATATGGTCTAAATTCCCCTCAAATTAAAAACAACTAGACCTCCACCAATGTACTGTTTGCTGATGTAACCACCAATCATGACCTCATTATCAAAGCTTGTTTAAGCATTGTTAAAGTGTAATCCTGTTTAAACTTCCTGTCCATACCCATCTCTCATCCATTGCCTTAAGTAATTTTCAGCTCTGTCATCATATTGGTCAAAGAATAATCCTCTCTCTTAGGTCTTTTGGCGCCATCTAACTGATAGACAGATTTATACCTTACTTAAGTTTCCAGTTAAGGTCTATCAGCCCAGTGATAAATAAACAGAGTGAACAGCTGAGGCTTGGCTCACTCAACATCGTCTCACAGTCAGTAAACATGTGCCTGGATGGGTGCATGTTTGCTTCACAGCCTATGGAGATCAGTTTCTCCATCATGCAGTTTTACATCAAAGACGTTCCTTATAAGTTGTACAGACCCTCTTGTTTTTTTTTCAACCCCTCTTCAAAAACCATTCTTCCATCCAACCGTTCCTCTCAGCTAGATGAGCTCTGTGACAGGCCTTTTGGCCTCTCTCTAAATGGTGACAGTGTGATGATGTGTCATTTAGGCTGTCCAAGATATCTTCCAATGGCTGCTTCTGAAGTGACAAGTGAAACATTAAATGTCTCCTTTAGCACTTTGTAGAGGCCTTTAAACACAACAAGATGCTGAATGATCCACTAATGATATTTGATATTTGAACTCTTTATGGCTAAAAGCTGCTCACCTGGCTTGTTTAATATGCATGGGAAATGTTCACTGCATCAGGTAATAAACATTTTATCATGATCATTTATTTAGATGGCTAGACTGATAAAACTGTTACAGCAAAGAAGTTTGAAAAGTTGTATTTATCTGTTATATGTTAATATTCCATTATTGATGGTATGCTGTGGTTTCTTTTTTATTGTTGGTTGTTAACTATTTTTTTAAAGGTTTTCATTGAGTTTATTTTTCCATGTCATTCTTCCATCTTGGGGGGGGATTTGGGGTTGTCCCGCGTTATGTCCAAAAACAATGTTGCGCTGCAGTACCCACACATTCGTCGAGCACTAGGACCAAGTGGAAACTGAGTTTAGACCGCCCACAAGCTCCTGATTGGCCCACCGTATTCTCTTGTGTGAATTGATGCGCTGAAATAAATTGTGCTGAAGTTACTTATATTAAAAATAATTGCATTCCCCCCACTTCTCAAATCAAAATTTCGTGCATGCTTCACTTAGTTCACTCCTCTGATTAGATTAACCTCCTTTTTATGTGACCTGTTAGAGCTCCTCACTGCTTAAGCTCCTTTGTTATTTTTCCATGCTTCATTCTAGTGTTATAATCATACGAGTCCCATGTCCTGTTTTCCTTTTCAGTTTTATAATTCCTTTAAAATAAGGAACTTCTACTATATTTTCTTATTTTGTCTCCATCACAACTTGAAACTGTGAAATTTTTACTCTCATAACTTCTTTATTTTAAATGTAAACAACGGAATGATAAACGCCTGACCTCACATATCACCATTTCACTGATCATCAATAAAATCTATCAGAATTCAGACTTCTTTAATCACAAATTATATCAAACAGTATCTCTATAGTGTATTTTATTAGGATTCAATTAGGACTAAAGACAAAGATTAGTTTTACTGTTTTTGTTTTAAGGGAAATGCGAAATCTCCAGGAACAATTTGTTGTTAAAGCCATATAGGTTGTGTGTAAGGCTCTTTGTTGTGAAGCACTAAGTTGGACCTATTAATAGTTTGTCATTTTAGATTTACAATCTGTTTACCTACACAAATAAATTTTGCACAAAACTGTACAGAAAGTTGCAAAGGCAAAAGATAAAGGAAAAAAAGCGAGGATAACAAATATTGCTACTGAATTTGACAAATTGATTTTTTTTTTTAATCTGGGAAGCCGCTTGTTGATTATGTAGTAGCTTTAAAGAGTATTTTCTTGGTGATTTACTTCTCTGAGTCTCAGTGTAGAGCACATCAGCATCCAGGGAAAAAATCCTTACGTGGGCCTGACTGGCCAATCAGAAGCTTTCTCTTTAAAAACGTGTCCTAGTAAATCTGTGATTATTTTATATCATTTTTTTAACTTTAGAGATGAATGTTAGCAAACCATAACTGAGGTATATGAATCTAAATGCCTGTAATCTAGATTTTACAAACCACTAAACATAATCCTTTCTTCTAAAAGCTAGTAACTAAATGGTGCCAAAATTAAGAGAAAAAGAGAGAACAGAAAAGCAAAACGTATTGGTAGTTATCTTTACCTCTTTACCTCTAAAGCCAGAACATAACATTATTATAAAGTAATTATAATACATTTATTTCCTTTTTTTATGACTGAATAGTAAAGTATAGTGAACGTGCTTGTGCTTAACAAAACAACAAGCACAAATCACCACGTTTCAAATATGACGTAGCAATATTCGATTTATTATTCAGACTTAAGGAGATATTTCAATCACATGAAATGTGTAGTTTTTTTTATAGTTTTTATGTGTAGTTTTTCTTTTCTATTTGTACAAAATAAAAAAAGAACAAAAAATATCAACCTGAAATTTCCAAGGTTTAATGTATTTTTATTTTTTAAATGTCACTCTGGCTGGAAATCTTCAAAACCCTAAAATAGATGCGTTTTATAAGAAGTCAGAGAACTGCAGTGACTTTTCGGCATCTAGGGGTGGATCACACGCATTGTGACCTTTTAATTTTCCAAATTCTGCAACACATCTTGGAGAGTTTTCATAGTTCAGAACTAAAGCACAGGAAAATTGTAGTCGGAGGGGAAAAAAATTGCGATTTGCACTGAATCATCAAGTTAATACAAGATTATTTGTTAGTACATTCAAAGACATTTCATCTTTTCTTTTTGTTTTAGCAGTCCAAGTAATTAGGGCCATTTAAATCTGTAAAGCCATCATGTGATGAGAACCTCTGCCTCTACATCAGCACACATCATCAGTAGTTCCTGATGTTTCTAAACTTAATAGGATGTGGCTTCACGGCCCTAATAGCAAATGTATACACTGTGATTGTGGGTTTGAGCCCTGATGGTGCCACCCACACTACAAACAAACTCATGCAGTTATGGCTGTCCTGAGTGAGCTTCTGTAGATGAAAGCTTTCCCTTAAAAGTTTGATAGGTTTTTGCCGGGAAAACCACTGCACTCGCCGGACTGTTTGAAGCTTCAGTTTCTATTATGGTCTTTAAAAACCGTTCATCTATTTTTGCTCTTTAGAGAGCAGCATCCCAAAGAGAAGCAATCACAGATTAAAAAACTGGTGGTACTGTGCACTAAATTGTAGGCAAAGTGCATGACCTGTAATGATTCGGTTAGAGGGAAAGTTCAAAGTAGTTTAGAGCAAAAGCAACTTAAAATTAAAACCACATATTAACATTCTCTGTATAGAAAGAAACATTTTCTTTGCCAGGCTTTCATTAGGGAATGTATTGTGATTTCCTTTGCCTTTATTTAAAAGAATATCTGATCCAACATTTTTTATTAGTTAGATTTTTATTTAGAAATGCTTGTATCGTAATTTCGGGGGTAAGTATGAAAGCATTAGCCTAATTAACAACTTAATTTGGCATTTCCCAACTTCTTGCAGCCAAACCTGATATTTACATACATAGTGTGTTTTTTGTTCACTGGCATGAAGTTGAAGTTGAACGTTCCTTTTTCCTGACCAGTAAGAATTATCGAATGTATTTGCTGAAATACAAAATTATTCTTGTTCTGAAATTTCTTTATGACTTGATTGAAGTTAAATGGCATGTGAAAAACCTGATGATATAATGGCTATATAGCTCCCGCTAGGTTAGCCAATGTTCAGTTCAAAAAAGGTGATCTGGAAATTAATGTTTTTTTGTTGTCAAATGTGTGCGTGTACTCCAGAATGAAAGCAAAATACTCTATAACACTGCTGGCTGGAGTCCTGTACTGACATAAACTGCAAAAATTGTCCATCTAACCAAGTCTTACAGTCTTAGATGTAGCCAAAAAGTCATTTTGATATTGTTTTTGGATTTATATACTAAACAAGAGCAGAGATTATTTATCTTGTAAAAAGATTCTAATATAAGTGCGATAATATACCAGTTAAGTAAGACAATTTTACTTAGTAAGTCAGTATATATAATGTTTTGTAAAGATTAAAGTTACCTTCAATATTCTGGTATTAAGCCAATTATCTTAACTAAAACTGGAAAAAAGTTTATCAAGAGTTGTTTTCAGACAGTAAGAAAAACATCTACATCTATTATAAATATTATAAAAAGTCTGAAAATACATGTTTTTGATTGTGGTAGTACTATAAAATAGTAATAATAAAACTGTTTTGCACGCTGTCTCCTTCACACTCACGTCCAAGGTATGATGATGCACACATTTCTTATTATAGATAATAACAAACAAATCTGTGGTAAGATGTTATCTGATACAATGGTGAAGTTCCCCTTTAGATTAGGTCTCCTGTTCTTTGATGGCCATCTAGTTTCCGACACATCAACAAATACCAAGCTGTGTTTTGTGGTAAATCAAAAAGTACAGATATAAACATGCAGAAAAAAAAACATCAGTAGTTTAAAGTTTGGTAAACTGTAGAACAGAGTGTTTTGTGCTCTGGTGGCGACCCGGGGAAAGCCCAGCAAACCTCTCACAGCTCCCTTTATGTGCTGCAGTCAAAACAGGAGGCCACATGGCTGAAAGACCAACACTAAGGAAGACCGTAATTGTAGGTGAAGCTCAAAGAACAGGCGAAAAACACACACACTAGTAAAAAAAAAAAAAAACACATTCCTGAGTGAGCACACTATTGGACTCACATGTTTGGATGTTTTTGTGTTTTCTGCTCAAATAGTTTTGAAGATGCGCAAAGCATACACACAAACAATGCCTGCAGAAGTCTTGCTAGCTGTCCAAGTAGGAAGGAGAAACTCAGGTCAATGGGGAAGACCACAGAGCCAATGGCTGAGTGGTGCTGAGCGGAAGGAGCCTATCGGGTGACATCTGGACTGCATGTGGCCTGGTCCTGCAATATGGGTGCATGTCAGACATGCTAAACAATTAGTATCCTATAGCTGAGACCTGACAAAAGCTTTAAACATCCTGCTGAGGCAGAGACATGTCAGCTTGTTAGCAATATCTAAACTGGCTTGTGGCTGGAGGCTTATGACATCTTCTCTGCGCCAGACGATATTTCCTCGAAAGGCAATGGTGTCTCCACATATAGGCAAAAACCTCAATAGCTGGTAATTAAGTTGTCTTGGTGCAGTTCTTACAGGCGGTGAGGCTGTTGCCAGGTTTTTCTTTTCTGACTTTTAAACAATTCCCATTGAAAGAATTAAATCAGCCACACTGACCCTCGTTTGAACTTGTTTTTGCTGAATGGCTTGGTTTGGCTTCAATTCATAAAGAAGTCATGAATAAAAAGTATTTAAACCCTTTTTGCCAAGGAAGAGCTATGCTTGTGGCTGGTTGCAAAGGTCGAATCTCTTGCTAAACCTTGTTCTTTGTCTTGCAGCTCTTCACGGCTTCCTTTTCATGGGCCTTTCAGCAGCAAGCCGTTCCACTAAAGTATCAGTACAGAGATCCCGTGACGTCTCAGGTCCGCTCTTGTGACCAGTGCCCTCCCGGTACATCCGTGAAACGACACTGCACCGCTGACACGCCCACTGAGTGCCAGCCCTGTCCTGAGAGACATTTTGCCGAGAACTGGCACTGGGGGGATACATGCCAATACTGCACCTCAGTATGTATGAAGTATAAACTGACTCTCCAATGTCAGAGAGGATATTTTAGTGTTGATATTTTGGTACCTAAACTGAAATGTTGCTATAGCAACACATTTTTTGTTAAAACTTCAGAATGTGATGTTTATTTTTCCTCCCTGATGTTTTAATCTTTTAAACCTATTCATAAAGCACAGTTTGTTTCTATTTCCGCTGTACAAAAATTGGTGTCAATAGTTTCATATCCATTGAAGCAAATTATTGCTTAGGTAATAATTTACTCTTTTTGAAATTCTTTTAAAATGCATTTTTTCTTGGATGACCTATAATGTTTCCTTTTGACATAAAAAACATGTCATTTTTAAACTACTCATGAATAACCTTGATGGTCTGTTGCTATGCAATGCTTGTGTATAAGTGACTGGTGTGTGTTGTGTATAGGTGTGTAAGGAGAGACAAGTTGTAAAGCAGCAGTGCAACAGTACACATGACCAGCTCTGTGAATGTATACCGGGATACCATCTAGTGGTGGAATTCTGCATTGCACACAGTACCTGCCAGCCTGGAGAGGGAGTCATTGCTTTAGGTAAGTCATTAAGTTTCATTTTCTTATAGAAATAACAGGTTCCATTCTACTCTGAGATGGGGTGAAACATAAAATCCCTATAAAAAGGCACTTCTTTAAAGGTTTTCCAACTTATATTTTATAAACAGAAAAGGGATATATTTTTGGGGTTGCGCATGTGAGCTTTAATCCATTTTTGTGTTTGCAGTAAAGAAAGTCATGCATTTAGTTAATAATGTATTTATTTTACAGGAACAAACTATGAAAGGTTTAACATGAAATGCTTTTATCGTCATCATCTAACGTACGCTTAGAAGCCTCTATTCCTTTTCCTTTTTCTCTGAGTTTCCATATCAATATATCTCTCTTTAACAAAACTTAGAACTGCTTGCTCAAAGAGTCTTTTCTTATAAAAACTTTCTGTGTAAAGCATTTCTAGTTATTACCAGGAACTAAGCATGAGCTATATCATCTCCTTTAGTGTTTTCTTTTTATTTCATCCAGTCTTAAATATTATTTTCCCTTTTGTGGAACACAAAGAGGAATTTGGGAATTCATTTCTTTGAATGTGCACAACATTGGAAAAGGACTTCTTTAATAGATTTTTTTTTTTGTATTTTCTACTCAAATCTATCATTTGCTATGTCAGGAGAGAAGGGACAGGAAATGATTTCAACTAAATAATTTTTATCTTTACCCATCAGACATTCATGTGTGCTGACCGGATTTAGCGGCACGGGCACAGCTAGAGAGAGCCCAGTGGTGGCCATGGCCATCATTAGCAAATCACTGGCCTTTCTTAGCCAATCAGTGGCCACCCCTATGGCCACCCCAACCTGTTGATTTGTTGTTCTCATTGAAACATACTTTACAACCTCCAGAACAACCTATTCACCTCTAAACCAGAGGATGGCAGCAGTGATACTCGTTCGAACAAACTTGTTTTAGTTGTTACTATATTAACAATAAATTGACAACAAAATTATTGCAATATTCTAAATATTTACGTAAAAATACTAAAGTAAAATTGGACATAAACAGAATTGACTCTCTTTTCATAACTAGGTTTTTCTGTTTTATGGGAAAGAATGGCATGTTTTGTGCAGTCATCTATTAGTCATCTATGATATTAAAGAACTGTTTCAATGTGTATATCATGCAGAACCATAACTAGTTTAGACGACATAAATGCATAAATATGTGTGTAGATGTATTATTGAGGGCTTTATGAAAATCTAGTCTGTCTTCCTTAATTTACTTGGTAAATAGGGATGTTTTGCGTGGTCATTTTCGTGGTAGTACACTGTGATCAGTGTAGTCTGACCCTAAACTTGTTTTGGCGCCCATCTGTTTTCTTTCTTATTTTTATTTTTTTTTTACAGAGTCCTGTCTGGCAATGTGGCAATAAGAATAATTGTCTTGATGCCAAAAAGAGAACCCAACAGATTTTGCTTTCAAAAGTGGAGCAGTACGGCTATCGCCATAGTGTTCTGCTTGACTTATGCATATAAATAGCTTTATTATAATTCATGCAGGGAGTATTACAGATTTTATGGACACTGCAATATAAGTAGAACAGGAAAGAAAAAACAAAAAATTAGAAAAGATGAAAGAAAGAGGAGATAAAAGGGGAGATAATCTTCAGCCTGCTTCATCACCTCCAAAGAGATGTAAAAAGATCAGCACAACCAACAGATATAGTATAGGTACAGTATACTGTGGTAGCTGAAGATAAGAATCAATCCTGCGCCCATCTGTTTTCATTGACCACCCTTCGGTAAACATTGTTCTCTGCCTGACCAACCCCTATAAAAATATTCAGGCTCTGCCAATGCTTAGTGGTTCTTACTAGTCTTGTCTCTGGTCCAGACATACAAATGTTTTCCCCTAAAGAATGGATAGCACACTGAGTTTGATTTACTATCGTGAGCAAAAATGTCATAAGACAAAACAATAGCTGTCTAGTTCAACACATTTTTCTAATGAATATGCAGCAGCAAGGAAATATTCCAGGAGGATGGGGTGATAACATGTTTAATTTACAAGATCAGCTGGATTTTCTACAGTTGCAAATAACAGTGCTCGATACTTTTGTGCGTTTCAGAGGAGCAGCAGCATCAGTACAAGATGCAGTCAGAAGGGGGTAGGGTTCTCTGTTAGTGTGAAGATCATTGAAATTACTGAATGAAAAATAAAAAGGAGCTATCACCTGATGACTTCAAGCCTCCATATAGCTAACCCATCAATGTAAAGCGGATAATTGTTCTTCTATACAAAAAAAAATGTGTATTTGTGCATAATTAATTAAACAAAAGTGCTTAAAATTATTTTAGGTAGTGCAATACAAATGTCAATGCTAATATATAGTATCCATGCAGTTTGCCCAAAATTGCAAGAAATACTGTAAGAGACTGGTTCCTCTTCACTTCAATACCTTGACTTCATATCGGCTTTTCTTAATCTTAAAGCTGCTTGTTGTTTCTCATGGCTGTGCAGAAGGAACTACTAACAATGGAGTCACATCTTTTTAATGAATGCTTTATTATGAAATCGGAAGGATCCATTTCTCACTAACAAATTACTAATTGGTTCTGCTTTTTTTTTCTCCGATTATGAAGCTCATGTTCAGAGAATACGGGGATCTGTTTCTATTTCAGTGAGAAAAGTAAAAGTGGGAAGTTAAGCTTAGTAAAGGGATAAATATGTGTTTTATTCTAGGTAATGACGACGTTAAGTTCTGGTTAAACAGTAAGAGCTACCAAGATGTTAACCTGAAACTAGATCTTTAAATTCTCTGAATAGCAAGACACCTTTTGTTTTACTGTGGGATATTATACTGAATTTGTTTTGTTTCAGTTGTGACAACAAAAAAGGTGACTTTTTGCATAATGTCAAAAATGATAGATAGGATTCTTTAGAGGATTTGTTTTTGACATTTTCTTAACCTCGTAGGATTTAAATGAATCAAGTGCTGTAACACAAAGGCAAATTCCAGTTTCAACTAAAAAAAAAAAAAATCTAGTGATAACATTTAACAACTTGATAAGGGTAACTTTGTACTGTGGTGAGGAGTTAGCCCAACATATGTCTGCTTTGTTCTTGATTTAATTATCTTTTTTCTTTCTGAGAATCTGTTGTTATCTAGCAAGAGCCTCAGCGCTGCTGTCTGTAGTCCCTGTAACGTGATAAAAGGGAAGCATGTTTATTGTTGGAGTCAACTATTATCTGTTGTTTTTTATAATGTTCCTTTTCAGCCACTATTCAGATAGCCTACTTCCTCTCTCAGTGGCCTTTCATTTAATGGTGCACAACTTGTTTTGCTTTCACTTGGATGCCGTTCAGCCAATATCTTCAAAATGTTAGTTTGCTTGTTTTTATTCTATGGTTGATCCAAACATCTTTAACCAAAATCACATTCAAAAATGGCTTCAAGTGTAGGGAAATTGAATGCACAGTCCTCAGTCATCTGCAAATTGAAGCAAAAAGAAAAATAACTGAAAAGAAAATCATATTTCAACTTTTCTGGATTTAGCAAATAAAAATAACGTTAAATGAAATACATAATTATATCTGATTAAATATCAAGAAACAAAAGTTGTTGTTTATCCATACATTGCATGTTAATATCAGGCTTAAACTGCATCTGTGTAGGATTGTATATAGGCCTAACTCGTGCAGTCACATTTGATTATAATTGCCATCTCTACAGTCACTAGTTTAAGCTCTGTGGTGCTGTAAAACACAAAATATGTTTACCTTCACAAATTCAAACCCACTCCAATGTAATTCTAAATAATAATTTTTAATGCAAGGCAAACATAAAGAATTAGGCTTTCTGTTAATAGGTTATAATAAATAAAATACATTTAGATTATATATCACATTTATGTCAGTAAATCCCTGTAAATATTACACACTTTAAGTTCTGTTTGAATTAATCTCGTGAGTTTTCTTATGTTCATGCTTGTTCATATGTGAACCTGTATTCCTCATAACTGTGCAAACATTGCATATTTATTAGTCAGAACTTAAATAATAGAAGAACAATGATATACGTGACATTTGTTGTACTGCAACACCCGTCAGCACAGTATCTGAGGTATACAGTACAATCAAAGTAATCTCTAACAGAGGACATGGTGACATTTTTAAGAGTCATTGTTCCTGTCGTTCCTGTTGCCAGATATGTAGTTTAAGTGGAAACTCGCTTCCTTTCATTCAAATTAACATCTCTTCACTGAATGTCCGGAACTGCTTCCTCTCTGATTCTTTGAAATTTTGCTCATGCCATAAGCTGTTATGATTTCTTTATTCAGACACCGAGGGCTGAGTCATGCAGAGTCTGTCCGTTTTCCCTATGGAACCCCTGAACCACAAGCAGTTATTGAAGAAGATCCCTAGCTGTGATTCAGAGTTTCAAACCAGAAGCTGCTGGTTAAAGCCAGTCAAAGCACATTCTGTTCAGGACCATGTTGTTTTTCCATTGGTCCTTTGAGTCAGTCATTTCTAGCTTTGATTCGCCTTTCATGAGGTCAGATAAAAAAAAAAAAAAAAAACAGGTGGTAATAATTAATGTATTAAGTTATTTAACTTATGCAAAAAGGTAAGTTTATACTTTTCATTTTAACCATTTGATTCAGTTGTCAAAAGAAAGTATATCCTATAGTGACGGATTTAAAATATGTATTTAGTTATATTTATTTAGTTATATGTATTTAGTTATATTCATTACAATTAGACCTGTTCAAAAGTGAGAGCTACCTATGTGTACACAGCCATTTCTCAACGCTTTGTTGGTACAACTTTGGCACAAATGACATTGTCATCTTGGATTTGTTTCTCCAAGCTTGGAGCACAAGCTTTTTCGTCTTTGCAGATATTCTCAAGTGAAGTTGGCTTAGACGGGCATCCTTGAGATGCAGCAGTTTTGGTTCTTCCTAGAGAAGAATTAATTAGACGGAAGTACGGTCTTTGTCTAGATGACCAAAGGACATACATGTGCTGCTCCTTAAGTCACTCCTTTGTTGTATTGACTTTGTGCATCTGTTGAAAAAGTGTTTTCTCTTGAGCAGGTATTAAATCTTTACCTGCTGTCCTTTTAGCCACTATGCAGGCTGGATCCCAAACTCATGCCATGGAAAACCTTCCTTCACCATGATGCTGTCATCCCATCACATAGATGGGACGTTGTTAGTTTGGTGATTAGGAGTGTTTCTTCTTTATTTTGGTGGAGATCCCATATTTGAGAATTTTTTTTTTTTTTTCGGTTTCATCATGCCAAAGTTTTATTTCCTTTTGTTCATTAGTCTCTGCTGAGTTTTAGTCAAATTCATGTTGACAAGGTTTGACCATTGGGATGGTTCTCATATCTCTACAAGGACACACTGGATTTTGTTTTTACCCGATGAAAGGCACAGCTTCTCACTCCTGAACTCTCCAACAGCTAGACCTAAAAACGCCTCTGTGTTTTCTTAATCTCAAATTTTTTTAATACTGGAGAAGGCAGTATTTGGAGAGATATCCCATACTGCTAATTATTTTGATATCCTTCCCCAAATTTGTGGTTTGACACGTTTCAAACTTGGAAGTCTACATGCAGTTCCTCTGACTTCAATGGTAGGTTTTTGCTCTAATATAGATGGTCAATTGAGCCCTTAGATATCATTGCAATTGAAGCCAGAGGGATTCCTAGTCGAAGCTCGCTAAGCTAAGGGGTGAGTACTCTTAAAAACTTTACAAAACTATTGTGAAATAGACCCTCATTTTGGCATAATGGGCCATTATGTATAAATTGTATATTTAAAAGGGGCTAAACTTATTTCAGTCATATCTGTAAGGCAAATTATGGAAAAGGTAAAAGAGAATCAAAACCTTCCACAGTTCATAGTGTATAAAATGTTTATCTCATGTCAGATGATCTCTGGGGTAAAACAACTATATTTTTGGGAAAACATCTTTACAGTTTGATATAAAAAATTGATAACTGAAAATAATGAAGGAAGAGATTATTCAAGTACTTCTCAACAGCTGCCTGAAACTAATCAAATTTAACTTAAACACCAATTGATCGTTAATCTTAACATTTTTTAAATCCGATTTTAGTGTAAGCACTTAAAAATAAAAACAGATCTGTTAAGCATTTTTGACAAAGTGATGATTTGGCACAAAGGAAATTTTGAGAAAAAAAAAAACTTAATGTCAGCAAATATTTTGAATTGCTGGTCTCATTCATAAGTCTGTAGTGTACGTGCTTGGTCATCAGTAGTGGAGGAAGCATTTGCCGTATGCATATCTGCAGGTGGTTTCTGCAGGCTATGTTAGCGGGAAATAGATGAAAAGGTTACATCTGATAAAGTATGGCGCCTTCCCACGCACTTTCAATGCTTTGGTTACAGCTAAAATAAAAAGAGGAAGGTAATAAACCACTTTTTCTCTTACATACAGACTGTCATGTGATCTGCGGGATAAAATACCAGAAGTTGAGAGTATTTGTTCTAAATTTACAGGCAGTAACCCATAGTTTCCATCTACAAAAGTGGAGTTAATTCATAAACATATTTTTTTACGCTACAATATATGTGTATAGCATTATAATTCAATTAAAAAAATGTATCTTTCTATTGAGAAACATTTGATATTTCTTATGTAGAGCTCTGAAGATCACGTTTTTGTGTTGTCATAGTAGTAGTAGCAACATATACAGTACAGGCAATAGAAACTATATGTGGGTGTCCAGAGGAAGACCGGCATGAGTCACATAGATCATTTATTTAGTGATCTGTGGCTTTGATTGATAGTCATATGCTTTGCGGGCTTAGTTCTTAGAATCATATCAGATTATTAAAGGGCTTCATGAATTTGACACAGAGAAACTTCAGATAAATCAAAAGGCTGGTGGTAAATTGTTGTAACTGATGCAGCATATCTTCAGTTTTCTTCAGTTCAGCACGGTGTTCTACAGGATATTTGATGTAAAACACCTGCGGTAGGGTGTCACCCATTATTTCGACATAGGAAGTATGTATGAGCGGAAACTATACTGTAGGTTTACAGTTGTAAGATGCCAGTCTATAAAGTGCCTTCCTTGCAGAACCCCTGGGGACTTTTTCACACTTTCCTACATAACAATCACGAACATAATTGTATTTTAAAGACATTTTATTTAAAAAGCTACTGGTGATAAGTAAAGATCTCATCTTTATTTATCAGATGCTAAACTAGGTTTAGTTCTGGACTTCAGGCCATTGTAACCTGCAGTGTGACCACAATTTGAGCTAAGCCAGTGGTATTCAAACCTTATTTCATCCTGACAAAATCAAAATAGGAAAGAGTAAGTATGCATGGGCTAAAAAAAATGTTTTTTAAAACTAAAATACATACAAAATTAAGTACTTTTAACAGCTTTATAATGTTCTTAAAAGGTACGACTTTGGTACGGTAATCATATTTTAATCTGCATGTTATAAGATGGGCATATCATATCAGTTTTGATTTTGATATTCATCAATTGCTGTATTTAGCGAAGTTTGATCAACATGAAGCAGGTCAGATAAGGGTTCTGTTTCCAAAACCGAAATTAAAGCAGAAACATGGCTTATAACAGAGTAATACCTTAATTTGTACCCAGCAGTTATTTTAAGATGATTCTGATTGATTGTATCCCTAATAAATCTGCAGGCCTAATTTGGTCCATTTGTGAACTGTAGACCTTTTGTTGCTACCACAGCTTAACAGCTATATCAACGGTTGGAAACCCAAACTGCTCAAAGAGCCATATTGGACAAAACAAAACAAAAAACAAATCTGCCTGGAGCCACAAAAATGTAAAAGTCTTATATAATCTTGTATGGCAACACAGGCTCTAAGTGTATTATTGCAATATAAATAAGGACTACATGGGCATAAATATGTAATAAGCAGTCATGGTTAAATGTTTATCCTGGAGCAAATGTCACATAACATGAGCTGAGGGAGGAGCAGTGAACGCTCTCACCTTGTGGAATTCAAAGTGTGCTGCTTCACCGCCCTTCACCATGCAGTTTAGGTTTTGTTGCACTGATGAAATTATAAAAACAAGATTAAGGAATCTTTCTATGGTGGACATGTTTTCATTTGGAGGAGTTGATTGAGTCATGAGCAACCAAGCAGGAACTGACATCCATCAGAGCAGAGCTCTCTAACCCCAAAATCCCATATTCTCTGTCACCAGCGTTCCTTGGTGTTATTTTTATTTTGAGGATTTGGGGGAAAAAAATGAAAAGAAAGTTCACATGTCTACATAAGACCACTACCTGTTCGATCTGTGGGCAGCTTTCCATGCTTACAACCAAACTAGCAGCGGTAATGGAGTTTGGAGATACAATCCACTTCTTAAATCTATCTTTGCTCTCCTCTAATTTATCCAGATGTTCTGCAATCGCACTTTTTCTCTCACTCACAATTTTGTGATCGACTGCAAATTTAGCATGCCTTCCCTGGAAATGCCTTTCGAAATTACTCAATCCTTCCATATTGATAATAGAAGCAAATTATTTGCTCCATTCTTCCTTGAATCCCCGGCTGCTTTGTTTGCCTGGCTCCGCGGCGCATTGAAACGTGTGTTGCAGGCCATGACCACTGACCTCTATGGCTATGATGCAAATTTTCATTGAAAGAAATGTTTACATTTATGGTTTAAATGTATTTATTATACAAATGTTTACAGCATTGGAAAACATAATGAACGTTTGTTTGACCTCCTGCACACCATATTAACATAAACAAAAAAAGAAAATTTTCATAAATTTTTGAAAAAGCTCCACGGAGCCACAAGGGGGGGGCGCTAAAGACCCGCATGCGGCTCTGGAGCCATGGGTTGTCGACCCCTGACCTATATGAAGCTTGGTTAAGTGTCTCATTGGCAAAAAAAAGGTTGATAAAAACTAGAAAAGGACATTAATTTATAGTTGGACCTTACCAATAAGCAAAGCTTTTTGTTTGGCCTGGATTTTACTTATGCCGGACGTACAGTGTGAGATTTTCGGGGCGATTTTCCAGTCGTGGAAGAATCTTTTGATCGGGCTGACTTTCAGCCTGATCGTGCGTCATGTAGTGTACAGAGGGTTACGAGGGGCGATCAGCCTCTCACGACCAACTCCCATTCAGGAATCGTGAGGTCGTGGGCAAATCGCTCAGTGTGCATGCGCACACAAAGATTCTTCTGTAAACACAGCAGCATGGCAGGGATGCAAGGAGTGAAATTAAGTTCTTTCTGTAAAATTGACAGACAGCAGTACCCACGTTTGCTCAGCCATGTCTTTTTAATTGCACAAATTGCCAAGGCAGTGCGTTTCACTATAGTGAGCTTCATATTCCTCTTCTACTTGTATGAATAAACCCTGCGGTTTAGTCGTACAGTTTGAGCTGTAGCTGCATGCAACGATAAAAAAAAACGCACAGCGTATATCCGGCTTTAGGGGTTTCAGATTGATCAAATCTGCAGGCCACACCATTAAGATTTTTGCATACTGAAAAAGGAAATTGTAATTTTTTTTTTTTTGCACATGTTGAGCTACATTGCGTTTGTACACATATAGTTAAATCCCAAAGCTAAATAATAAGGTTTAAGGTCATAGTTTTGTCCAATTCTGTCAGTTTGAAATCAAATAAATTACTTGTGGATGTTTTCCAGGTACACCTGAAAGTGACACTGTGTGCGAACGCTGTCCTGACGGTTATTTCTCTGCTGGCGGTTCCTCCACCGAGCCGTGTCGGCCCCACAGAAACTGCGCGGATTTCGGCATGAAGACTTTGAGATGGGGCACATCCTCATCAGACAGTCTGTGTGGCTCCCCTGACATCAAAGCAGCTCTGGACTGCTCTCAGCATCACACTCTGTGTCATAATGGTGAGAACATGAGGATCATAATGGCTTGAATTATGTGAAAAGCTTTAGAACTAATCCACTAAGGGGCTACGGTAGTTTATACCCCCTTTACACACACATATGTAAGAGTGTTTAGAGTAAACCTCAGCTGTCAACAACTTTAAATCTTTCTGAGCTGAGATATTTCAGACCTGCGGTCAATTTCATTCCCTGAGGCAGGGGATTTCCTCGGTCAGGTTCTCTTCCAAATGCCATGCTCTTTTACTAATCCTTGCATGTCTGAAAACCAGATCCAGAGAGAAATGGCAGGGGTTACAACAAATGTTTATGGCGCTCCATTCAGAACGGGCCCATGATGGATCAATTACCTGCTTTACTTTTACATCCTCAAACACAATAACAGAGGAAACTGATTCAAAAGGAGTCACAAGAGGAGTTTTTAGGGGCTATGTTAGTCATAATGCAGCTATGATAGATCTTAAAATATAATTTGAAAGACAAAGCCTCAAATATGATGCTGAATTCCTAAAGCTTTAGAAAATCACACACATGTTCAGACCCTGGCACACTTCTTCACAGGCTGTAGAATATTTTGAAGACCAGTCACAAAGCTCTATGTGCTGAGAAAAAAAGATATCTTCCTCAAACATTCATTCACCAGCTGTCTTCCTTTAAAGGAAACAGCCACAAATTGTCTGCAACTAATCCTGCATCGCTGAGCAGTTTAAACAAAAATGTGAAACTGAGATCAATGGGGTTCCCAAAGCTAATGAGTGATGTGGAATGTCAGAATGCACAATTTCATCATCATGGCATGAGGGAAACCCACCAAATTTCTTCTCCACATTACAGTCAAGCCAGTTCATACCCTAACTTTATAAAAAAACAAAATTTTTGCTTAATCTTGGAACTTAATTTTTGCAAAGTGATACAAAACCCCCACACATATAGAAATGCTTTCTGGCATGATCAAATTCATGAATCTAAACCTTTCTAAATTTCTGATTACTTTCAGCTCTGAAAGTCATATGTAAATTGGGGCTGTCCTCAGCACCTGGAAGAGCGACACTTTATAATAGTCAAATTTTGCTTTAAAAAAAAAAAACCCTGCTCATTGCGATCATTAATTTGCCTTATAAGGAATTGTATGCAGCCTCAGACTTGCTGTTTTGCACTGCTGATTCGTTTTAGCTTAGCTCATCAGATGGTAGACTGAGGTGTTACTTTTATTGGCATATCTAAATGCATGATGCGTGGTTCATAAGTTCTCTAAAGGCTTGTCTGACAGCTGCATTTTGAAATTACGTTATATGCTGCTCTGACAAACTCATTTCAAGACTGAAAAAACCAAACATATGTTGGTTTACTGATATAGCTGTTGGTTTCTGCTATTTTGTTGAGCTGACATGTATGACTCAACAGAACAAAGGCAGGCCGCGCTCTGGTCATTTCAGTTATGACATCTAGTCTCCGAACATAAAGAAATAGGCCTTTTCCAAAAAACTTATTTCATTCCAGTTTATTTATACTAAAACAAAAAACCTAAAAACCACTTTTTTTGTTTGAACATGCATTACTAAAAGATAGAATCAAGTAACCAAATGATACACTGACCAGCTGCGCAAAAAGTTGGTCAGCAATCTTTAAAAGGGCTTGATCAGACGCCAGACATATATTTAACTGATTATCTGGCCTATTGTAATTTTATGTTCCATTTTAGACATAAACTGTAAATAATAGCTGTTGAATTATTGTTTTAAATATTGTCACTCATAAATAGTTTTGTTTCTTTTAAGAAACACTATTTTTTCTTTCTTATCAAATAATTAAATTTTTGGTGTTTAAAAAAAACAAACATAAAGCATACTTTGTCCCCCCTTCCACTAACACATCTTTTGTTTTCCATTAAAGCCAGGAATGCAGAGACAGGAAAACTAAAGATATTCTCAAATGCATAACCCTTTTTTTAAATATATATATAATAGCTAACTTGATTTGGAAATATCTATAGCAAGTATTGTGTGTGGAAGAACACCTTACTTAAAGGTTTTAGCAGCTAAACAGCAGTATCCTAATATCATACATTGTGTATTATACTGATATCTTATGATTTATAATTCCTTCCAGATGTGACTCTTTGTGAGGAGGCAGTTTTCCAGTCCCTTGCCTCACTGCGGCTGTCTTCAGTGCCTCTGGAGCGAATCCTTGAGAATCTTCCTGGACAAAAGGTGGATCTCAAGAGCCTGGAGAGGCTGAAGAAGGCATGCTCTCACCAGCAGCAGGTCTTGCATCTGCTGCGGCTGTGGAGGGAACAGAACAAAGACAAGTTGTACGGTATCATACAAGGTATCGTTAAGAAACCCATAATGCTATTTACAATCATTAGCAACCCCTGTAAAGAAATCTAGAAATGCTATAAAGTGAATCGTTTTTATGGAGCCTTGCATAAAGTTTGTGAGTCATTGCTCTTGTTTTTTTAAGTTGTTTTAATTAATTAAGGTTGTAATTAATTAGGTTTAGGGGAGCATATAATTTATTGTAACCCCTTTCTAATTGTTAAACCCCTTAAATAAATCTAGCCTAGGAGAATTCATCATATTTATACCACATTGGAAAAGAAAGCTAAAAAAAAAAATGAAAAAAATTCAAATGCTCCTATATAACTTAATAAAAATATATACAATGCTTTAGTTATATCCATTTTGTATTAATGTATAATTGTGTATATTAACATGCTGTTTCAAAAGCTGCACCCTTTTGTTTCAGATGTTTGATTTCAGATGTTTTATTGAATTTTTCCGCCAGGTGTGAACCACTGTGAGAGAAAGGTGTCCCGCTGCAACGTTCTGAAAAACCTGACCATAGATGACCTCATTAGGGTGACCAACAGCCTACCAGGGATTAAAGTTCAGGAGCAGGATGTGAAAGCCATTGTGTCCACCTGTCTGCCCAGGCAGTACCTCCTACAGATTCTCCACCTGTGGAAAACAACAAACTACAACTTGGATCTGGCGAAAGGTCTGTCTCGTAGTCTAAGGGAGCTTCGCAACCAGGGGGCTCCGCGCTACCTAATCAAGGGGCTCAAGAAAATCAGCCGCATCATAGAAACTACATCAGGGCACAAGAAGTACGAGAAGATGTTTATGAGCATGTTTCAGGACGAGTCTTGCTTTAAAGTTCATAAGCCTTTAAATGAATAAGTTTCTTAAGTAACAAAAAAAAAAAAAAAACAGTGCAGCCCACAGCATTTCCAAAACACAACTACTTTGTGGGATTGAGAGTGAAGCAACTACAGTGTGCATTTTGAACATCCTCAGGTCTCAGAAAAAGAAAGTTTTCAGTTATCTGGTCGAAGCAAAATAAGGTATTGTATCAGATAAAAGCTTCAGGTACCAGAAAAGAGGCATTGGGTATAATAAAAAAGCTAAGTAAGAAAAAGTATTTTTAAAAAGTATATTAAAAAGGCAGCCTGTTGCAGGCGATGCTCATGTGTCATTACCGTGTTACAATGTTCAGATGGTTCATGATGTCACCAAAAACTGTGGGTTTAAGCTGGAAATACACCAACTGAAATATTATGAGGTTTATGATACGATTAAAATAGTAACATAAACATTTTTATAGTTTAATATTTAACCCTTTACTGTCACATCTGCCAGACGTACACATGTGGATACAATGGTTAGTACCCCTCATTTAAAGAAAGAAAACCCCACAATGGTCACAGAACTACTTAAATCTGACAAGATCAATAATAAAAAAAAAAATTAAACAATCTCTACAAAACTATGCTTCAAGAGCATGATAAAAATTGAAAAAAATTAAATAAAGTATACTCATGAAACAGTCCTGTTAAAAAATTATGCTAACCCTAAAAAAGAATGAAAATATTGTACCCAAATAGACATTGTAAATCAAGTTGTGTCCACTAATTAGCATCAGAGTTGATTACATTCTTTTAATCAGTCATTAGGCCTATGTAATTAAATTTTAAAAGAGTTAAAGGAATAGTACACCCAAAACATGATTAGCCTTCATTTTCTACTCACCCCCATGCTGAACAACACTCTGGAGTACTTTTTTGATATCTCAAATGCATCTGGAGATCTGGGAGGCTTCTTGCTGTCTGCTGACATTCAAATAATGGAGGTCTATGGTGCCTGAGGCAGAAAGGTCCATAAAAGTCCACAAAAAACTTGTCAATATTCCTCCATACTGCTCGTCCAATGTATTCCAAGTGTCCTGAGTGGGTAGTGTCCATAATTTACTCGAAACGAAGTCATTTAGAAAGTTTTTAGAGCCTAAACAGTAGTGTATAGGATTTCCTAAAAGCGCGCACATGCGAGTTCAAGAGATCGCAACAGATGAAAGTGCGTATTCAGCTCGGCAAAGAACTCATGCTCTTCCTCAACACTGAAGTCCTCAGACATTTTTATTTTCGTTGTTTCTTTCTTTGCACAGGTAAACAGCACATTTCTTCTTCTACGCTTGCATTATCGGCAGAGCAGACTCTGAATGCGCACTTTCATCTGGTTTGGTCTGCCGCGGTTTCCGTAGCGTCGTGAACTCGCAGGCGCGCGCTTTTAGGAAATCCTATACACTACTGTTTCTGCTCTAAAAACATTCTAAATGACTTCGTTTCGAGTAAATTCTGGATGCTACCCACTCAGGACACTTGGAATACATTGGACGAGCAGTATGGAGGAATATTGACACGTTTTTTGTGGACTTTTATGGACCTTTCTGCCTCGGGCGCCATAGACCTCCATTATTTGAATGTCAGCAGACAGCAAGAAGCCTCCCAGATCTCCAGATGCATTTGAGATATCAAAAAAGTACTCCAGAGTGTTGTTCAGCATGGGGGTGAGTAGAAAATGAAGGCTAATCATGTTTTGGGTGTACTATTCCTTTAAAGTGCTTTCCCAAGACATTAAAAAGAAAAATACAGAGAAGCACTTTAAAGGTAAAGGCTATGAGACCATCTACAAGCAGCTTAATGTTCCTATGACTAGATATATGCTGGTGAAGATTCCTAGTCATCCAGGTCATAGTCATTCTGAAAAAGCTTAAAAAACAATCCACTGGACTTTGTTTCCAAGGTTTGAAGAAGTTTCTCTTCCCCTCCAGGAAGCTTTCTTGATTTAAAATGTCTGGATTCGCATTGAGTTTGAGGCTTTATATAGTGGACCAAAAACAAGGCCTTGTATTGCTTGGAAACATGCAAATTGAAACTGACGAGCTGGTCGTTTGGTTCCATTGTTAGCCTGTAATATCTGAAACCTGCAGAGTCTTGTCCAGAGGAGGCCGCTATTCTGTGTTGGGCCATGCGTCTGTGGAGAGGCTGTTTGGTTTCTCCAATATAGAGATCAGAGCATTCCTCGCCGCATTGAACAACGTACACCTCTCTGCTCATATTCGGTCTGGCGGTTTTATCTTTAGGATGCACCAGTCTCTGTTTAAGGGTCTTGCTGCACATCTACACCTTGTGGACAAAGGACAGAATGTTCACATTTTGGACAAAGAAAATAGGTGGTTTTAAAGGAGTGTGAAGGAAGCCATCTATGTTAAGAGAAAAAAACCAAGCTTAAACAAAGGTGGTGGACTCAGATTGCAGCTTCCGAAAACTTACAATCTGGTTATTGAGTTGATTCCTTTCAGGCATCACCACAACCCCCACCCCATCATAGAGGAACAAAGTACCTCCTACCTTCAGCCAGGGGAACCATGCCACCTTTCACAATCATAGACAGGTTTAAGATATAACAGGCTAACAATGGAACCAAACGACCTGCTCGTCAGGTTCAATTTGCATGTTTCCAAGCAATACAAGGCCTTGTTTTTTGTCCACTATATAAAGCCTCAAACTCAATGCAAATCCAGACATTTTGAATTGAGAAAGCTTTTTGGATGGGAAGCAAAACGTCTTTAAACCTTGGAAACAAAGTCCAGTGGATTGTTTTTTTAAACTTTTTCAGTATGACTAGATATGCACATACTATTCAGAAATATAAGCTCCATGGGACTGTAGCCCTCCTCCCTAGACATGGCTGAAGGAGGAAAATTTATTTGAAACCAACCAGACCAATGGTCTAGTATCGTGGAATGGTAACAAAAGAGTCCAGAAAAACTTCTAGAGATTAAAAGGTGAACTTCAAGCTCAAGGAACATCAGTGTCAGATCACGCCATCTATAATTTTTTGAGCGAAAGTTGACCAAATGGGAGATGACCAAGGAGGACAACATTGTTGAAGACAAATCAAAAGAGTCAGGCTGGAATTTGCGAATATTGAAAAGCCACAAAGCTTCTGGTAGAATGTCCCATTGACAGATGAGACAAAAATTAAACAGAAAAATTATGAAAATCAAGAAAAGAAAACAGGCTCTGTTATGCTCTGGAGGGCATCTTAGCTTCATCTGGCAAAGGGTGTCTTGACTCTCTGCAACGTAAAATTTATTCTGAAGACTATCAAGAGAGGTCGCTGGTCATTGATCTTTCAACAGGATAATGACCCAAAACACACCTAGAAACAGCCAAGAACGAATAAGAGGAAAACACTGGACTATTCTGAAGTGGTCTTCTAGGATTCTAGGAGTCCTGATTTAAATAATATTGAATCCCATCAAATACCTGCTGAAAGGACCAGAAGTCTCATTGACAGGGAAATTATACATACATGACTTTTTTTTTTTTTTTTTTACTGTAACACATTATTAGCAAAAGTTTAACAGCAGTGTGGTGTTGTTATGGATCTAAACTGCTTTTGGTGATATCATTAATTATCTGTTATTGTTGCACATTAATGTACAGTATTTGTATTGTCTGGAACAGTCTATTTTCCCTAAAGCTGTTATATATCTGTTTTAGCCTTTCTTTTTTTTTTTACATCTGATCATTGGGACTCTTTTCTGTTGAATTATGCTTTTTTGAGACCTAATGCCTCTTTTTCTTTTGTCATATCTGACACTTTTTCTCCCCTGAGATTTGGTGCCTCCAATTTCTGAGACCAGATACCTTTTTTTTCTGTGATCTTAGGGTTTCCTTAAATGAACACCTTACACCTTGAAATACAAATTATGCATTAAAATGTTTTTATAATTTTAACTTAATGATGCCAGAGGTGTATAAAGAAAACTGAAAATGCAACATTGATTTATAGAGGTACAAGCAAAGTATACAACAGGTTTTAAAGATAAGACTAGATGCAAATATTGTGATCTTGATCTGCAGTATCATTTTTTAAGGATTCATCTAATTAGAAGAAAACATTCCTTTGGTGGTAATTCATATATATCCTGGAAACATTAATTCAAATTTGTTTGAAATAGAAATGTGTTAAATAGAAGTTATTTTAATGAAGAAAAAGGTGGATTCTGGTTTGTCCTATTAGAGCTTTCTCGCTGTTTGAGAGCAAGAATTTGATTTCATAATGAAATACATTTAACTTTCTTAGCAGTCATCTTTTATTTGTTCAGGACTGCTGCAAGGTAAAGCTGGTTTGTTTTATATTTTCTTTTTGGTTAGTTACATGAATGTATAGAGGAGTGCAATTGTTATTTTTGTTTTTTATTTAAAGTGTAATTTTTCTTTTTTTAAATGTAAAGTCTTGTTTTTTATTAGTTTTATCGTAAAAACTGGATTCTGAAATGCTGCAAGGTAACGAAGTGGTATTTTTTTATATTTTGTTTTGTCACTTTTATATTAGAAGTTGATGGTCTTTTTTGTATATATGCCTGTTTGTTTCTTCTAAAGCTTGTGTAACTAAGTTGTGAACATTTCTAAAACGCTGACAAAAAAATCAGCTTGTACAAAGGTATTGTTTTATTATAAATACGCATTGAAAAGAAAAGTGAATGGTCTGATTTTGTCAGTCTACAATGGTTAAATTCCTTTGTTTCTCATTAATTCTCAGATTGGGCATTAAGGCAGCAGTTTCTCCTAATTTTATGTTTACAGATTACTGATAAGCAACAAATCATTTTGTGCAGTTGCATAATTAGAAAATACACCTTTAAATAAAAGAGGAGAGGCTATGACATTATGGTTGTCTCGGCCCTACCTTGTGGTAAATGGTAAAAAAAAAAAAAGAAACTAGTGCTTGCAGGCCATTGTCAGCTGGCCCGGCTACCACATGGACTTTTGAGGTTTTCTTTATTATTTTCATTATCTTGATTTACATTTTTTACAATTGTCTTTGACTGTTAAAATCTTGATCCTGAACATCATCTTCCCTCTTTTATTACTTCCCTCTGAGCCAGGTTGTAACAAATGGGGGCTTGTCCGGGATCAAACAATCAAACTGAATATTTAGGAGTTAACAAAACCTATAATCATATCCAGCATAATTTTTTTTGCTGTCGTTTGAAACGTGATATTGCGACTTACATCAAAACTTGTCATACATCTCAGGTCACAGGCAAACCCCCCAGTCAGTCAATTAAATCTGTACTAATTCAGCCAATACCAGTAAATAAAAATCCTTTTGAACATTTCATATTAGATTGTGTTGGGACACTGCAAAAATCAAATTCTGGTTGTCAGTATCTGCTAATCTGCAGATACTGCAATCTTTTGTTCAAGGAAAAGTCCAGTCAGCATGGAATAAACAATGGGTCATTATTTATACTTACAAGTAATAAGTTCATGGTGATTTAATTCATTTAGCGTTAATCAGTAAAAAAATATAAACAACACCTCACACCTGACATCTTCCGGTAGTGACGTCACAGTGCTGTAAGCTGAAGGCAATTCTCTCGCTTTACAAGCAAA